GGCTTCGGCTCTGCCTCGCTGTGCCATCGCGAGCAAGCAATTTACGATTTTCCAGGGCAGCCCGTACGTCCGTCCAACGCAGGCTCTGAATGGTCAGCGGCGGTTGCGGGTTGTGCTGGCGACCAGCATCGTCCGTGCCACCACCGCCATATGGTTTATAGTTTGATCATCCGATTTATCGTCATCATCACTAACATACTAGCCACTATCATCGCCATCATCAGTAATTACTTGTCCTCCCGCTCTGGGCCACAGTGCAATTACAGCAGCGATAGGGAATTCATGCCTCTCAGCAACTTCCGTACCCTTGCCCGAAAAATGCCGAGCAAGTGTGGTCGATCTTCCTCGGGCGGACGGGCGAAGGGCTTTACCCTGGCAGAAGCGTCAACAGGGGAGGTTTGAGCAACATGAGCGGCATGGGAGAGCCCATAGTCGGAGTGATTTCTCGAAGCGGCCCATGGAAGGCCCAGGAGGCTCCCGACCGCTGCCATGTAAATAACAACCACTCCCAGGGTATTCGGCTAAGAGGCCCCTGAGCAAGGGGCCTCGCCAAATGGGCCCCAGCCTTCGCGTGATGTGTTGGTTGAGGAACAACGGGAACAAAATCCCTCGAGCCCAGAAGGAACCCTAGAGACCCGACGCAATAAGAACATCAACAACATGCCAGACACGTTGGCACAACATTTGGCACAGAAAGCGCAGCATCAGTAGTAACAGTAAGTTGGCATCACAAAGCGTTGCCGCAAAAGCCAATGACATATATGGAAGGGGGATTCTAGACCCCGGGTGGGCCCACCCAAACAGTTCAAATCACAAAAATTCCTTGTGTTTTCAGTTCTACCATCGTTTTCGTTGCGACTTGCGTGTATCGTTATTGTACTGTCCCGTGGTGTTGTTTTTGATGTCTCGCGCCGTCTCCCCCGTGGGACCCGCGTGGGCCGCGGCGAGCCCTCTTGGGATCCTGGAGGGACCGCTGCGGGTGATCAAAGGACCTCAGCGGGGCCGAAGGAGACCCTTCAGGAAGCCCCCAAGAGGGCCCCCGCACCCCTCACGAGCCACATAACCCCCACAACTCATACAACTGACACAACCCGCACGAGACCCAGAACCCCCACAACTCTCGCAACTCCCACAACACCCACAAGAATCACCATCCCAGAACCCCCGCAACTCCCACAACACCCATAACCCACAATCCCCCAAAGCCCCGCTTTTCGCACAATCCCCACGACCTCCGGTGCTTCAACCCGTGGGCTTTTGTTGAATTCCTTCGATCAGGCTTGTAAAGCTTATGATTCCTTTCATGGGCCTCTGCCAACGTTCGTGCTCCAAGCCGCTCCTGATTGTCAGTTCTCACGATAGCAGAGACACGGGTGTCTCTGGAGCGTGCTGTATCAACACTTCGCGGATTATTGGAGTCCAAATATCACGATTATCATTCCTCTTTCTGTTATCCTGCGGATTCGGCGGCGCCAGGGATTCGCGTCTCCGTTGCGAGGGGAAAGAACCCCCCAAGCGGTGTCCAAGAGGTTCCCTTGAGGCTTCGCTAAGATAGGGGGGAAGTCTTCTGGCGCGGGGTAGGGGAAAGCGATACCCTCTCCGAAGCAGGTTGAAATGACCATTGTCCTTGACCGCCTGCGCCCCGAAATCGTGTGGGATGTCCCATCTCTCAGCGCCGGCCCAGCGCACGGCCCACTCCGCGGTCTCCATACCCGAAGGTGGCCGAATCGCGCGTGTCATTTGTCTCACATCCTGTCGCAGATATGCTGTCAGAAGGCTAAAGCCAGTCTGCCGACACACACAGGGTCGATGGGCGAATGTAACTATTGCGAAGGCCTTACGGCTGGTGCTGCCAACCCAGAAGGGGGACGACGACGACGACGACGACGACGACAACGACGGCGGCGGTGGCGGCGACGACCACGACGACGACGACGACGACGCTGACGTGGGCCAGAGTCCTCAGGGATATTTCTTGGGGTCTCTTCGGAAGGCTCTCGGGGGCCTCTGGGAAGGAATTGTTGACGCTTCGCGCATCCCCACCAGCCCATCCAACACCAGGTACTCGAACGAAGAGTGCCGATCATCGGCAGTTGTTCTCCTCCTCCTCCTCCTCCTCCTCCTCCTCCTCCTCCTTCTCTTCCTCTTCCTCCTGGTGGCGTCTTGGAGGTCTCTTGAGGCGTTTTGGTGGGCTCTTGGGCCTTGCGGGCGGGCGGGCGGCGCCCCGCCCGCCCGCGCGCAGGGCCCAAGAGGAGGGTCCAAGACGCATCTTGGGGCCATCTTGGAGGAGATCGATCAACAAAGGGAGGTTCCTTGATTACGGTCCCCCTCGGGAGCTCTCCACATCGCCTCTTGGAGCGCTCTTGGGCCGCTCTTGGAGCGCTCTTGGGCGCTCTTGGGGCCGTCTTGGGGCTCTCTTGGGCCCCTCTTGGGGCTTTCTTGGGCCATCTTGCAGCCATGTTGTCGCCTCGGATGGGCGTCGGAAGCGCGAAGGCGAGAAAGCTAAACAGATTGATCTTCCCAAGGGTTCTGAAGCATTTTGGCCTCTTGGGGGCATCCTTGGGGAGCTCTTTTGGACAATTGGAGCCATCTTGGGGCGATCTTGGAGCGTCTTCGAGCATCTTCGGAGCCATCTTGAGGCATCTTGCGCTATCTTGAGCCATCTTGGAGGCTATCTTGGGCTCTCTGAGGCCCTCTTGGAGCCAACTTGGGCGAAAAACTACCCTCTGACACCTCCCCGCCCTTCCCGTCCAGGTCCACGGGGAGGGGGTAGGGGGGGGGGTAAACCCCTCCCCGAAGGGGAAGAGGGAGGGGTGGAAGAGGAAACGCTCTAAACCACCGACGCCCAGAGGGCTGGTGGGATTTTGGGGCCTCTACGGAGCCTCTTGGGGGCCTCTTGGGAGCCTCTTGGGGGCCTCTTCGGGCTTCCTTGGGACCTCTTGGAGCCTCTCGGGGCCGAGGGCTCGAAATGTCCGTTCGGGTCCCCCGACTGGGCACGCTCTCGAAGCCGTATTGGGGGCCTCTTGGGCCGTCTTGGAAACGTTTCAGAGTGTCTTGGGGTCCTCTTGGGCTGTTTTGGAGCCCTTCTGGAGACGTCTTGGGCCGTCTTGGGGCGATCTTGGGGGCCTATTGGACCGTCTTAGGGCGGCGGAAAGCGGATAAGACGAGAACGATCAAATCCTAAAAAACAAACAAGGGGAATCAATTAATTTTGCCTCTTTAGGTCCTCTCTGGAGTGCTCTTGGAGGCTTCTTTGGGCGTCTTGGGGGCCTGGGCAGTCTGGAGGGCGTGAAGGCGTTCTGGACCGATTGTTTGGCGATTGGGCCTTATTGGACCGTCTCGGGGGCCTCTTGGGGCACTCTTGGCCTGTCTTGGTACCCGGGGGATGCGTATCTGACACCCCCGCACTGGGACCTCCCCCAGGACCCCCCCCGGAACTCCCCCCCGACGGGGGAGGGACCAAAGGGAAGTGCCTTCCCTTCGACTCGATTGTGACATTTGCTAGATTTTTATCCCGATAGGCTTGCGAAGAAGGGCGCAGAGAAAGGGGACGGAGATGACGACCGACGGAGACGACGACTCGAACAGACAAGCCCCTCGCACACGCCGACAGGGTCGGCGGATCTCCTCGTCCCGCGCCCCCTTGCAGCCAATCCAGAAAGGAGGAGCTGGGCGTGGAGCTCGAAAAAAACAATCCAGAAATGATGACCAGGCGAACGGACTGGAGAAGGGAATCATAGGTACATGCCGCAAAACAAGGCTAACAATACTTACCTTAGAAACCTCTGGGTGCTCCTTGGGGACGTCTTGGAATCATTTCGTAGGTATCTTAGCGCCTGGTCGGGGGCCTTTTGACCCCTTTGGGGGATGTTTGGGACATCTTGTGTTCCCGATCATGTCCTTTGAAATCCCGGCTCAGACTTTTCGATGCTGCCTTCATCCCGACGGCGTTGTACACATGCGAATGCTGGACGTTGACCGCGAGATCCAAGGAGAAGCTTTGCACGGCATGGCGAACGCTGACCAGAACGATTTTTCGAGTGGCACGTGCAGCAGATGAGCCTTGGGTTGAATACATACAGAGCGCAAGCAGGCAGGTTGTATCGAAGTGCGGCGAACAAGGATATGACAATTGGGAGGTGGCGCAAATGACCCGCAAGGCCAATTTCGCTCGCAGAGAAGACATCCCAAGGGGCTTCGGAGAAGTGGAGCTCCAGACTGCTCAAGTGGAGCCCGTGGTTCGGTACCACCCCAAACGTCGAGCCGAACGGCCTCACCGTCGTTGGCAATATTCTCTTGGTGAAGAGGCGCCGTAGGTTTGCATACTTTTGCCCCCGTTGCCCCCCCTCCACCCCAGCTTCGCACGACCAGTTGCCAATGCTGTCTTCTGACCTTGCGCGCAGTTTTTTTCCGCGCTTGCTGCGTGCTTGTGCCCCGCCTGCCCCTCAGGAGACCGCTCCGCCGGACCTCTTGAGGCCCGCGCGCTTCCCCTCCACGCGCGTCAGCATGCGCAGAAGGCCAATCCCACGCGATGCGCGCATTCGATGAATCCATGGCGAAAGCGTGCGGGTGAAGCAAGGAGTAGATGACATCGACATCGCGTTTATGTTTTCGTGTGGCCCACTTTGTGTCGGACAGTTGCAGTCCCAGGGCGCCCGAGCTCTTGTGCATCCTGGCGCAGCCGGTCCGTGATCCGATTCGATGTCGACCCCGTGCCGATGCAGCCCGATACGACGCAACTTCCGATTCGATCGGGTTGCCCGATTCGGGCTGCCCGAGTTCCCCCCCCTTGAGAGCAGGCTAGAGCCTACCACTTCCACGTCCTACGTCGCGACAGAAATATAACATCGCGCGAGAACCCTGGCACACATCTGCCTGCGGCTTTTGCCGGGCCAGATCGACCCGTGAGGGCCCCGGGGCCCGAAAAGGGGCGCAGTCGCCCAGTGTGGAAGAATTGCGACGCCAGGATCTCAGGGCACCTCCTCGCCCATCTGCTCCGCAGCCGTTTGGCTCAGGGATCGGGAGGGGGCTGGTCGGGCCCCCTGGGGACATGAACGCCGACGGCGAGGACGACGACGACGAGCCCCTGCAGCGCACCGTCAAGCATGTCCGGGCGCCCGCGGCCGCTTGCCCAAAGTTTGGGGGGACAGGGGACGGCGACGATAGGCGAGGAAGAGCGCGTCCTGCGGGCGTTTGTGCGCCCCCCCACGGGTTCGAACCAGGGGGGAAAGGGCTCTCTAAAATGGCGACGGGCTCCGAACCCCCGAGGGGGGGGGCCAAGAAGGGGGGGGGCCCTTTTTCGCCCCGCTGGAACCTCGACGGCCGACGACGACGACGACGACGACGACGACGACGACGGCGGCGGCGGCGGCGGCGGCGGCGGCGGCGGCGGCCGCAGCGGCGACGACGATGGCGACAGGGGGCCGGCACGCGCAACGCAGACCACGACGATGGCATCGACGACGGGCGACTGTGACGACGACGACGCCGTCGAGTGACGGCGACGGCGACGGGCGACGGCGACGGTGTCGACGATGGCGTCGACGACGGGCTCTGGCAACGACGACGACGACGACGACGTCGACGGGGGGCCAGCACGTGCAAACGAAGACGCGGCGACGACGATGACGACGACGACGACGATGATGACGTTAGTGACGACGACAACGGTGACGACGACGAGGACGACGTCGGTGGCGGCGGCGGCTGCGGCGGTTGCCGCGACGACGACGAAGATGGCGAAAAGGGGTCGGCACGCGCAATCGGGGACCACGACGATGGCGCCGACGACGGGCGACGGCGACGGCGACGACGATGGCGACAGAAGGTCGGCACGGGCAAACGGGGACCTCGATGACGACGACGACGACGACGACGACGACGACAACGACGGCGACGGCGACGGCGATGGCGACGACCACAACGACGACGATGGCGACGACGACGACGAGGACGAAGACGAGGACGAGGACGACGACGATTCGCTCGACATGGACGCCCCGTCACTGAGTGAATGGTTTTTTAAGGTCCCGCCCGCCCGAACGACGTATTGGCGGTTCTAATCGATGTCCCCTGAGCTTTCTCATCTCGCACAGTGAAGGCTGTATTTTATGTCGCGCCCGCCCAACTTAAACGACACATCGCTGACTGGAGGTGTCATTTATGTCTCGCCCGCCCGTCCTGCGTTTCTCGCTGTTGTGATTGAGAATTCCAATGGCCTTCTCCCGATCCGAAGCCAAAGCCCTGCCCCGCCCGCCCGATATGGACGCCCCATCACTGAGTTAGTGGTTCCTTGAAAGTCCCGCCCGCCCGATCGGCGTCTTCGGTGGTCGTGATCGATTTCCCCGTTAGCTTTCTCATCTCACGCAGGGAAGGTTGCATGTAATGTCTCGCCCGCCCAACTTGGACGCCCCATCACCAAGTACAGGTGTAATTCAATGTACCGCCCGCCCGTCCTGCGTTTTGGCTGTTCTGATTGTTTTCCCTTTGATTTTCTCCAATCCAGACTGAAGGTTGCATTCCATGTCCCGCCCGCCCGATATGGAAACCCCATCGCTGAGCGAACGGTTCCTTTAATGTCTTGCCCGCCCAAACGACTTCTTCTGCGGTTGTGATCGATTTCCCCGTTAGCTTTCCCATCTCAAACAATGAAGATTGCATGTGATGTCGTGCTTGCCCAATTTGGACGCCCCATCACGGACTAGAGGTGTCATTGAATGTCCCACCCGCTGTCCTGCGTTTTGGCTGTTCTGATATAGTTTCCCATGACCTCCCGATTTGGACGCCACATCTTTGACGACAGGTTTCATTGAATGTCGCGCCCGCCCG